AAAGACAAGGACTCTGAGACAAGAACTGAGGACTGGGAGATTCTCCAGTGGACTCAAACATGAACTGGTGGAAGAGAGTGAGGCAGAGAGGTACAAGTGGACACATGGTGGGATGTAATGCCAGGATTAGTCTGGAAAGAGTAAGCAGGGGACTGCCCAGCGAAAGGACTAAGTGTTAAAATATTAATAAACATTTGCCTCATTATTTATATGTCTGGTAGGTCTTAGAAAGTACTGCTCTATTTTATTTGTTTGCTTTGGGTTTGCTTGTCATGTTTGGTTCTATCCCAGGTCTCTGGGCTATCCTGCCTCTAATTCCTGGCCCTTCAGGCAGTGTCAGGATTTCTTCTCATGGCTTGTGTCTATTTCTGAGTCAGTCTTTGGTTGATCTTTACCCTAGCATATTTTCTCGGCATGTCAAATTGTAGGTTGAATGTTCTCTGGCTGAATTAGTGTCCTAATTCCTCCCCTGGAAGTCTTCCTGACTACAAAAAATATTCAGTTCAGGCTCCATATCCAACATTGCTAGGAGTCTTAGCTAGGGTAACCCTCATAGATTCCTGGGAATATCCATTGCAGTAGATTTCTAGTTTGTCCCTAAGATGCTCCACTATTTCGGTTGTCTCTCCCAGTACTCTTGTACTTGTTCCTTCTTTCCCCCTCCTGATCCCTCTTGTTCCCATTCTCCCTTGGCCCTAGTTTACCTACAATATTTATTCTACTTCCCCTTTCTTGGGAGATTCATGCAGCCCCCCCCCTTAAGTTCTCCCTTATTTAGGCTCTCTTTGTCTGTTGATTGCAGTGTATTATCTTTAACTTTACACAGCTAATAACTACATATATATATATGTATATATATATATATATATATATATACATATATATATATGTATGTATATTCCTAGGACTATCTATTTGTGTGCAAATTTCATGATGCCATCTTTTAACAGCTGAATAATACTCCATTGTGTAAATGTACCACATTTTCTATATCCATTCGTCAGTTGAGAGACTTCTAGAACATTTCCAAATAAAGCTGCTATGAACATAGTTAAGCAAGTGTCCTGGGTGTTGAAGTAGGTCGATCTCATATGTTTGTACACCTACCAGTGATGGAGAAGTGTTCTTCTCATTCTACATCTTTGCCAGTATGAGCTGTCACTGTGTTTTTGAAGTTCACCATTCTGACAGTTGTAATATGGACTATTAGAATCATTTTGATTTGTGTTTCCCTGATGGCTAAAGATGTTGTACATTTGTTTAAGTGCTTCTTGGCCCTTTGAGCTTCCTCTGTTGAGAATTATCTGTTTAGCTCGGTACTCCATTTTCAATTGGATTATTTTCGTTTGTAGATATCTTGTTTCTTGAGCATATATATATATATATATATATATATATATATATATATATATTGGATATTAACCTTCTTTCATATATGGAGGTGGTGAACAATTTTTCCATTCTCAAAACAGTAGGCTGCTGTTTTGGTATTCTTTGCCTTACAGAAGTGTAGGACTGCGTAAGGTTATCCTGGATCATGGTGGAGCAGGTGTCTAGAACCCCGAGACTCTGTAGATTCTGGGCGAGATTCTACATGAGAACCGGTAGGAGTTCGATGCCCCCCAGAAGCCAGGATCCTGAAAAAGTGGTCACGATCTCCATAGAATTATTACATAGGCCAGGCTATAGGCCTCAGGCCCTAGGGATTTGCATACTAATGAAGGCCAGAGGGCAGAGCAAATTAAACATGTCTCCCCCAGATCCTCCCCCTTTCTCCCTCCCTATATAACTCGGGACTGCCCTGAGTTTTTGGGGGTATGCCTAGATCCGTCTATTATAAGCGAGGACAATAAACCTTTTTGGAACCAAGGACTTCCTTGTGTTACTGGGGCCTACCACCACCAAGGCCCTCAGGCCGCTGGAACCATAGGGTTTCCTCTCTAATGTGGGACCCGCCACGGAGGTGGAAGCCCCTCCTGGGCTTGTGCTGCTGTGGCCGGCTTCTTAAATTTTCCCCACACAGAAGCTTTTAAGTTTCATGAGGTCCTGTTTATTAAGTGTTAATCTTATCCATCAATGGACATTTACATTGTTCCTCTACCTTAGTTATTATAACTCAAATGAGCATGAAAGCAATGAAGCTTCTTTGAAAGAATTGCTAGTTCTATTATTTTTCCTATACCTTCACATGAGATTACCGAGGCATTCATTTGTTTAATTTGCAATTACTCCAGGACTCTACATTTTCCAAAATGGCTATTCCATTTTATATTTCTGCTACCAATGAAAAACATTCTACTTTTCTATACATTCCACAACATTTGGTATATTTTGTCTGTTTGAAATCAGATATTCTAGCAAATATGAAGCTCTATCTCCTTGTGGTTCAATTTATACAACACTGGTAGTTATTGATGCTAATGGCCTTTTACTTTTTAAAGTAATACTTTTATTGACTATTTAGAAATTTCACATGGTCTCCCATCCCATTAACTATCAAGTCCTCCCAGGTCAATCCTTAAGCCTTATGATCTACTTCAAATGAAAAGAAGAGAAATAACAAGAAAAAAATTCCAATTTGTACTGCCCATATACTCACTGGACCATTATCAAACTCCCAGTGGCCAGATCCTTAAGGATAACTGATTCCTTTCTCTACCACATACTCACTAAAAGCCATCAACTGTGAAGAGTTGCACTTCAACATCCTTATCACAACTTTTAGGTTTTCTTCAATGTCTTCCTATATAGACAGTTTCTCTTTTGGCTGGAACTGTGGTGAGGTGGGAAAAATTGTCTGCTGTATCTCTGCAAATTACTTTCAAGGAGGACCCAAATGTCTTTCTAACTAACATGGTACTTGGCTACATATATGAGGAATGAATCATTTTCTTGCATCAATTTTGGGAAATGAGAGTTCACAGTATTATAGAAGGAGATCAAATTTATGTTGATGAATGCAGAGAAAAAATCCTTATTATTAGACACCGTTGTTATCAAGAGTAGCTTTGTTTTCAAGTTGGAAAAGTTTTTTTTAAAGCATTACAATTGAGTCTGTGCTTTGCATCATAATTAATTTAATGGCAGTCCCAAATAAAGAAAAAAAAACCTGGTCTGACTTATAAAACAAGCATGACTTGCACAAGTATATTTCCATAAAGTCCCAAATGTTGTTCAGCAACTTGAATCATAACATTGGGATGATGTCTATTTACATGAATGTCTTAAAATTACTATTAACTATTTATATTTATTTAAGTTACTTTGGTTATTTTTGTTTTCTGTCACCAGCATATGTTTTTATTTCACTTGGTAAATTGTTAAATTTCAAACTTTTAGCAATATATACTTCATAGAAACACTTTAACATTACTACATTGTAGCAAATGCTATTACAAACAGTACAGAAATTGCTGAAGTGTTTATGAATATATGTGGGAAGGTTTTCAGGGATCATCAGTCATATCGTCAAGGCAAGCAAACATTTGGTAGTAAAAAACACATTTTGAAGGTGCTATTCATTCAACCAGTAGAAAACCTTGAGTTTATTATATGTTAAACTAACATCTGAAATAAATGTACAATTTTCTAAGCAAGCAAGGGTAGCTTACTTTTACTTAAGGATGATACTGTTTTTTCAATGCCAAAATTTTGAAAACAAATTAAGATATAAACATTTGTGATCAGCAGCCCTTAAAAAAGAAATGACACATGGAAATAAGCACTTCTGTTCTTCTGTTGTGTTGCTGTGTAAGTAAGTAATCTGTCCAGATGAGAGGTTACATGCCTCAGTCCTAGGCACCTAGGGTGTTTTGAAACACTGGATGAAGCAGTACTAAAAGAGTTTCCTGTTATGATTATGGTCAGGGGCAGAAAAACATGATGATCTACTCCTTAACTCCTCAATTTTCCAGAATACATCAATGTAACACTGCCTTTTCTGTGAAGTAGCATCAATACTCATGAACATTTTTATAATAGATAAGTTTTTACAGAGTTTGTAACTAAGAAAATCTATGGAAAAAGATTTACTGTCTCAATATAGAAAGATGAGTGGCTGAAAGAGGAAGGATTAAAGGAAGAAAGAAAGGAAGGAGAAGAAAGAAGGAAAGGAGTTTTAGTACTGCCACATGTAGATGTTATGATAACTCATTTAATATGTAAGCAAATTATCTGAGAAAAGAAAATGTAGGCAAACATCAATCTACTAAGGGCAAAGATAGAAGTGGTTTCCTATGAATGTTGTGATAGAGTAAGCTGAGTGTGAGTTCCTAGTTATCTGGCAAAAACATACTAAACAGAATAATATTTCTGTTCAAAGTAATATAATATAGTGAATATTTGTGTGAGATTTTTATGTGTGTATAGGAAGCTATTCAGATTAAAGATGAAATGATTCTATTAGGAAATCCTAAAATTCTTTTAGCAAGTTGATGAAAGACAATTTTCTCCGTCAATAAACCATTGATCCTTAAGTTTTTAAGAAATATCTATAATGTTCTTCTGTCCATCCCCCAAGTTATCACAGATTTCAGTGATTTCTTAGAAGGATTAAAATCTCAGGAGAGATTTTGTTTTTTTAAATATAGTTCAATACACAGTGATGATATAGACTTAAGTCAACAAAGAGAAAATTTACAGAGTAGACTATAATGTAAAAATATTAGAAAATTTTAATTAAGAATTATTTTATCTTTTATCTTGTGTGTGTGTGTGTGTGTGTGTGTGTGTGTGTTGATGATTTTGAACATGGGCGCGTGAACTCTATGAAACACATGTGGAGGTGGAGGTCAGAGGACAGTCTAGCACAATGGGGTCCTTTACTTTCAACTCATTTCTGTGTATTCCAGTCTTGTTGGCTTTTGAATTTCCAGCTACTGTCATGTTCCACTTTCTGTCTTACTGGAGAGCTGTAGAGGGTTGGGATTATAGATGCATGCACGACAATGCCCAGTTCTCCCTTTCCTCCCATGATCCTCCAACCCCCAAACCTCAGAGGAGAGAATGAATACAGTCTTCCATTCCACTACCACAAATTATGCAGTTGAATCGCCTGCATTTGTGGAAATCACAGTGGATAGCACATTCAGAGTGCAATTAATAACCCTCTCCCTAGGAAAAACACTTTCGTGATCATGGTATCTCCCATGCCAGGCTAGTATGTGATACCCAGATTTTACGTGAGTTCTGGCGAATAAACCTCAGTGTCTTCTACTTGCATAGCAGGCATTGTATCTGCTGAGCTATCTCCCCACCCAGGACTTGTGTCTTCTCCCAGGGTAATCACACTCAGCTTACTCTATCACAACATTCATAGGAAACCACTTCTATCTTTGCATTTAGAGGATTGATGTTTGCCTACATTTTCTTTTCTCATTCTCTCAGTAACACTGTGTAATCAAGAATTGCTAACTCGAGATGTTCATCCAAGGCTCAGTATTTTATCTGAAATAACCACAAGCCCAGAACACTTGGATGTTAGTTTTAACTACTCAGTATCAGAGGTAAAGCTGATGGTCCAGAACTGCAGGTAAACAAGACAGCATTCATCATAAACAACACCTCTGTATTCGCTCTGTAATTTGATCCCATGCCTAACGTTTATGGAGACACGTCTTCAGGCTATTTTGGGATTTGGAAGCTGTCTCTCAAAGAGTCAGTTTTTAAAACTTTTGCAATTAATAATGTTTAAGGAGTCTGAGTCTAATGAGACAACCCTTACTGCATACTAGAAAGGCTATGACTACAACCTCATTTGTGCTACCTACTACAGGAATTTTGATATAATACATTTTCATGTTACAAATTGAAGACATACATTTCATTAAAAAAGTTATAGCCCTTGGTCATTTTCTATAAAAAATATATGAACAGAAAAAGTTCAGACATAAAAGTTATTCCAGAATTTGTTTCTCCAGGAGAATTTTAGGGATATCTTTGAGGTTTAATGTGCAAACCACTATTCAGAGTTCACCTACCAGAATATAGCTACAACTAGCCTTCAAGAATTAGGCAGAAAAAAAAACTGGATTTAAAAAGAGGCAGCTGCAAGGACAGCAGAGTCCAAAGATGGGTCTGCTTAACAAGATTCCTCAGCTTGGAGCTGGACTCCCCCAGAGCTTAGCCAGACCAGTTTGTTATGCATACGTGCGAACTTGAAAGCAGGTCAATCATCAAAATGACAGAACAAGTTACTATTTTTATAATCATGTTTCACAAATGTGCCAGCCATTTAATGCCTTGGAAGGACACATATTTACTTTCCATTTAGTTCTCTAGATGAGACGCCTGAAGCAACTCCTATGAGGTTAATATTAAGTTCCAGTTATAAAGGTACTTGATGTGGAGTTTCTTGAGGAGAACATTGTATTAACTCTTACCAGTGTCCATCTACATTACTGGGGTTGTGGTTCCTTCATCCATCTTCAACACAAATCTCTCTAACCCTTGATGTTCTTCGGTATCATGTTGCCATTCTGACCCATGTGTCCTCCTACCTTCCCTTATTAGAACCTTACAATCATATTGGACCCACCCAATAAGCAATAGTTATTAGCCTCCTTGTCTATCTCAAGTTCTTCACTTAAACATGTTGATGAATTCCCTTGCGACTTAATGTGATATATTCATAAATTCCAGGGATTTGAAGTGATATTCTTAGGAGTCATTATTTTTGTTATTACAAAAGTAAGCAACACATGCCCAGTAACAGCTGGGGTTGAAAAACTCTTGTACCAAATGCTGTTGTCTAGTATGCCTATTGCCTTATTCACCCAGAAACTGCCATCAATTAATGAGATGACTATAAACCTCTAGAACCTAACAGCATTTTCAAGGGATTTTTCATAGTTATGGGGTTCAGAAAAATTAGCCATTTGTTTTCAAGAGAAATTCATTATATTAAGGATCCATTTAAGCTAATAAGCATCATAAGAATTACCTTAATCGCTTTCATTTGGTCTGCATTCATTATATATTGAATTTCCCAAATTATATATCTACATTTATATAGTTATTGTTATAGCCTTTAAAGTTGATTTTGGCATTCCTTTAAAAAGAAAATAAATGTAAGTATCCAGCAACCTGCCCTGACATGACATTGCAAACAACCTAATAGAGTTAATGGTTTTCCTATATAGAGTGCCAATATCTTTTTACACAACATGGAATACCCTTTTCATCTAATAGTTTTTCTATCCATAATTTTAGTTTTATTATTATATTAATATTTCAGGTTATATACTTTTGCAATTCCCATAATGAACATAGGCATAATGACTAGCATTTTCTCACTACAGACAGAATTATTCCATGAGGGAGGACAGTGGTGTCCTCACAGAGAGCTTACATGAAAGCTGAGAAGTTTATTTCCCACACTAAAACTATCACTTAAGTGTTTTAGATGGTTTCAGATTGATGGATCCCTGGTTTAAAATACAACATTGGTATCATGGTGTAGTTTTATTGTGAATACAATACTCCCACATTTTCCTTTAAAATACTATAGAGATTTTAAAGGAATTTACACTGAAATGAAAAATAGGAGAATGGTGTCACTCTTTGAAACTTAGACTTAAGAGTGCCTTGATCTTTTAGTTCTGCTGTGGAGGCTGGCTCTGCCCACATGTACGTTTTCTGTGCTGTGGGAAGTCAGAGTACTTTGAATATCAGCAATTGCACTTATGTTCACAAAACAAAGAAGAAAAACCACCTTCATAAGTGTATTAAAGTGACTAGTGCTTGATTTGTGAGATGAGAGAGTTCCTCCTCTGACCTGCAATTCCTGTGATCTCCTAGTTAGTAAACTGACCATTTTGAGTCCCAAATATTTTTATAGGACACATTAAGGTGATGGTGGGACTCTAGATACAGTCTTTTCTCTTCTTTGCTTTCTAAGTGGGATGTTCAGCTTTCATTGCAACAATCTATTACATAAATACATTTTCTGGAAACTCTAGATGTGAGTTTTTGCATTTTCTTGAAATTGTTTCTAGAAATCTTTTCTTAGGGCAATTACACCACCAAGTCAGGAAGACAGATATATTTTTAGCACCGACTCATTGTTCTCAGAACTGAGCACTGGGTCTCAGTTATTGAACTGTGGCTTAACAGGCATGATATTGTGCTTGGTTCTTGAAGTTTTAGATTTCTTGTATTCAAAGTTTTAACTGTAGTGGACAAATGTGAAAATCTCTCTTAAATTTATCTTTATTGAAACTCTGAGGATATTCCTATTTTCCCCAAAAATAGGCCAATAGCATCTTCCATATCTTCAGTCTGTGGGCAGACGTTTCTCTCTGACAATAAGCATAAGAATTTATGGTCTATTTTATTATAGACACAGGATATTGTAAATAATTTGGATTTTACTCTTCTTTAGATAATTGATCATATTATGCCTGATATGTCTTCTCTAAAATTTTAGTACAGATGTTCAATTAACATAGCCTAATGAAAGTATAATTGTTCTTTCTTTCATAAAACAATTTGGTTTCATACTCAGGTCTACAAGAATATAGTCATTTTTGTTATAAGTATTAGATGCATTTATGTATGTTTGACACAGGTTGAAAAAAATCTGCATAGTGGCAACTAATAAATGTTGATCAGTTGCTTTTCTTTCCTTAAGGGAAAGATATGTGTCCTTTAAGTTTAATGCTTTGCATATCCATGTGTATACATGTTCATATGTATTCAGGTGCTCAAGTGTAGAGTCCAATGGACAACCTTGTGTATCACCCTCAAAATGACCATATATTGCCTTTGACGTAAGCTCTCTCATTGGTTAGAGGCACAGGAATTAGCTTAGACTGCCTGGTAAATAAGCTCCAAAAACTGTTTCATGATCACCCCCTTAGAACTGGCCTATGAAAAAACAAATAGGACTATACTTGCACAAGCCTGGCTTGAGGCACACAGTTCCAATTAGGTTGTTACTTTATACAGGGTGTTTCCAAAACCCATCTCCACCCAACTTCTAGGGACTTCTGCCCCTAGACCAAGCAGAGAGGGGTCACCCAGAACCCTCTCTGACAGGCGATCTGAATTCTTGCTTAGGCTGCGAGGCTAAGCATTGCAAGGGAATATAAATAAAAGATAAAAATATCTATCTGGGTTCCCTGAGGGACAAGCCTGACTGCATAGCGGTTGATGTCAAAAGTATCCCCTCTCCAGGAAAAAGACTTCAGGATGGGTATGGCCCTCATGCCTCACTGGACAATGACAGGGGGACTGGAGCCATTACAAGGTCCCCTTCAATTACTGGAGGTCAGGCCTCTATCCCCACCTTCACAAGATTAGAATTGCCACAGCCCTTCTATACTTAGAGAAGGGAGTAGATGTCAGGGGCAGCCCTGCTTACACACTGAAGGCCTAAAATCAACCATAGGCCTAAAATCAGCATTAGGCCTGCCATACATGTATACTAACACCAAGTCTTGGGTCTCAGTGGAAAAACACTGAAACAGATGGCTATAAACTAATGTAAACAGGCAGCTTTTGTGGAAAACTCCAAGCCTGAGTAGCCATAGACCTTGTAAATAGCTAGCCTTGGCAGACAATACCAACTTAGATAAGGTCAAGTGAGTCATAGGCAGAGTCGTAGTGACTTGTCCCCTGAACCTTCACCCAGCCGATACCCGGTTCTGAAGATATCTGTATTCCCCCTGAACATCCACACTCCAGTGTCATTCCCTTCCCCACATCCTGCCTTTCTGTGTTTATAACCCCTGTGTGAATGAATTACGATTTGAGAAAAAATAAATTATATAAAAAAAACAAACAATCATAGCACAACCAAAAAAAAAGTACTCAAATAAATGATTGAATATTATAATATTGCATAACCAAAAAAAAAAATGTAGTCCACTCTGAGCACTCCTACCCTTGACAAGCTGTCCCATGGTGTCTTGTACCTTGTATTTATGAGCCTTGATGCTAACCATGTCTTCTTGTAATAATGGATGACACAATTAAATATGTCTTATTTACTGAAAATGAAATAAGGATCCTAAAATTTTGGGAGCATCTCCAGTTGATCATTGTCCCTGTGATCATAAATCGATGACCCTAATTCCACCCACTGAAAACCAATGACAAGAAATATACACTACTGAACTCTCAACTATTCTTCAGATTAAAATTCTTTGATGACTATTTAAAA